TGTATATATAAATATACACACATACAGTATATATTTTGAAAATATTTAGATGTATTTACATGTCTATGTTTATATTCATATAAATTATATTATAAATAAATATATTTAATATATAAACAACATATTTTTCTGAAATATATACATGCATGTGTGTGTATTTATATACACATAATAAATACACACAGCACACATACATATATGTAAACAAAAACTTTTATTTTGGATGTGATTAATCACGATTAATCGTTTGACAGCACTAAATATATGAAGAGTTTGGTTCCAAAACGCTATAAATCCATTTTGATTAATTTGAGTAAAAATGTGTTTTCTTTAACAAGAAAGTGGCAAGATGAAAACCACTATTTTCTGTTTCAAACGTTCACATAGCATCTTTAGGTTATAATAACATTAAAAATGAAAGTCCAGATTTTGATTTTCAAAGATTTATTATAAAAACTAGGGGTGTAATGGTACACAAGCATGACGGTTCAGTACGGACCTCGGTTTTGATGCCACGGTTCGGTACAGTTTCAGTACAGCAGGGGGAAAAACTTGCTCTTTTGAAAGGGCAAGTTTTCTTTTAAAAGAGAATTGCTCTTTCTTTAAATAAATTCAGTTATAATTCAAATTTTCTTAGGGATAAAAATCTACCTCGGCTTATGCTCTAAACTACAGTGAGCCCTTTAAAATTAGGCCTACTATACCTTTACAGTTAACAACAGACCCCTAACTTAAATTTAATTACTATTTATTTTTAAATATAACAAGCAACACTCAACTTAAAAAAAAAAATGTATGCAAACATGTAAATTGCACATAATGCAGTTTTTTAAATTAACGTCTAAATTATAAAAATTATATTTGTTGTTGAAATACATTAATTTACACAGTGCCTCTCATAACTCGTTTCATAACAGATGTATTTAAACATTAAATAATTAAGACATCACTTACAGGTAAAGTAAAATATAATGAGTATATAGTCTAATATTGTGTGAAATGCTCTTCTCTGCACTTTATTTATAGCGAACTAACGAGCTGTGGACACTGATGACTTCCTGAGGTAAATGAAATGCTACACTCTAAAAAATGCTGGGTTGTTTCAACCCAACTTTGGGTCAAATATGGACTAACCCAGCTGTTGGGTTAATGGAACAGTCACAAAGGGAATTGACAACAGCTACATAAAGAAATGTGTATGTCTGTTGTATGTGTGTGTGTGTATATGAAGAGTTTGGTTCCAAAACGCTATAAATCCATTTTGATTAATTTGAGTAAAAATTTGTTTTCTTTACCAAGAAAGTGGCAAGATGAAAACCACTATTTTCTGTTTCAAACTTTGACATAGCATCTTTAGGTTATAATAACATTAAAAATTCAAATCCAGATTTTGTTTTTCAAAGATTTATTATAAAACGTTATTATTTTTTCCCCAAAATGCAATAAATCCATGACACTTTTTGTTTCTTCAAAATGCAATAAATCCATTGAATTAATATAAAAGTTATTTTTCATATTGAAATTCAGCTTCCAAAAGTGCATTAATCTTTGCCATGTTACATTCATTTAGATGACTAGTGCTATACGCTGTATTAAAGGGGTCATATGATGCTTTTTTAAAGATCATTATTTTGTGTATTTGGTGTAACAGAATATGTTGA